CGCGCATCGATTTTATTTAAGTCATTTTAGCGAGGGTCGCCTCTCCACTGGACGATTCCTTGATTCCTCCGAATCGATAGACTGTATTACAGTTTATGACGTAATGTATTTAGAATATTATTTAAAAAGGTTTGACTGATAGTCGGATTTGATTGAACAACGAGAAGTAAATTTGTTCTCTCGCTGCTCGCGGTAAAGAGAGCATTCTAGTATTCTAAAACAAATCAGGATTAGAAACGGATAAAATTACAGTAAAGATTTGCATATTTAAATGAAGGTACATAAGGAATTGCGCACTTTAAGTTTTACGTGAAAGTCTGATGAAAAAATTACGTTACATAGACGTTTAAAGACCTGTTTGTATATTATCGATATATTACTAAATAAGGTATAAAAATTTTCATTTTTATATGCCCCGCGGTGTATGTATATATAAATAACCCAGTGCGATTGAACGTATTTAATGTGGCGAATCTGCGAAAGATAGAAAAAGCTATCTCTCTTTCTTCTTCAGAGGGTTATGTAATATATTGTTGACGGTTATCTCGATCATTTCTCGCTTCGTTCAAGCTCCAAGTCCAAGTCCCGATTTCACAGCATTTTCGCGCGGCAACGATAGACGTGTTTTCCTAAACCGCCAACGGATTCTCAATCGTTTCTTTGCTCTCTTGGATCAACTACTGTTCGAACTTCTCGCCGTAAAGGTGTTTGTATTTACGTCTGACTCTCTCGATTTTGACGGCGTTACGAAAGGACAGCTGACTCTCGAGTAGACTCAGGTGAGCTACCGATAAGGCGACGCTATTCTTATGGACCATTCTGGTGCGAGGGGACAGGCGAGCGCCGTTCATCTCGTGTGTCAAAGAGAGCGGTTGTTGCTTTTTGGTCGTGCGTTTCTTGCAAAGTTTGACGAAATACATGATCCACGTGGTCAAGAGATTCAGCGGGGGTGGTGCCATGGTGGTCCTGTCGCGTAATGAAAATACGATTAGTGCGATGAATGATATAATAAATGGTTTCGTGCAACA